CCAGTGGACGCCGACGGCACGGTAAGGCCGTTCCGGGTACGGCAGAGGGAACCCACGGCTTTTGCCGGGATTGCGTCTGGCAGGAGTGCACAGCCGGCTCCTCTCTCCCCAGGGCAAGCTCTACCGGGGCTTTTTGGATTGTATCCTGCAAATCTCCCACAAAGAGGGGTTGCTGGGCTTGTACAAGGGCATCGGTGCCGTCTACTTCCGCCTCGGCCCCCACACCGTCCTCAGCCTCTTCTTTTGGGACAAGCTCAGGGACCTGGTGCGGCACTAGCAGCCACCGGGGCCAAAGGATGGGCTCCCACCACCACCAAAGACATTAATAAAGGGGTTTTTCTATTTTCGGCGTCGTTTTGGGGTTTTTGGGGTGGTGGGGGGGGGGACGGCACCTGAAACGCTGCGATGCCTCGGGGTGAACGGCAGTGCCGGGGTGGAGGCGGTTGAAGGTGCTGGTGGTCCCCAAGCCCCTCCACGTGCATCCCATCACTGCCTTCCTCTCCTCGCCCTAATTTTCACCTCCATGGAGCAGCTGGAGCTGTGGCCGGAGCAGCTGAGCTCCAGCTGCTCTCGTTTGCCCCAGCAATGATTTACTAGCTGGGGTGGCCACTCCCAGCCTCCGCCGCACGGACCTTGGAGCCGGGGCCTGGCCTGGCTGTGCCGTGGCTCCTCTCCATCGAAAATGTTCTCCCTGGGGTCCTGGCTGCCAGCATTCCCTGGGCTGGCCTGGGGCTGGGCACTGCTGGATGCATTCCTGCAAGGTGAGAGCCCTGGGGGTGGCACGGGGGCAGCTCAGGGACAGGCCAGGGGACACCGGTGACCTGCTGCTGCCTTTCCCCACAGGGCTGGTGGGTGCCTGTGCTGTCTCAGTGCTCTGCAGCCTCATGAAGGTTTATCTCTACGTCCAGTGCCTGCAGTAAGCACCGCCCGGGGTGGGGGAGGTTGGTTTTGGGCATCTGATATTGGGATCTGCTGTTAGGGGGGTGGCTCTTGGCACCCAGGGGTGCAGGGCAGGGCCTGGGAAGCACAGGGTGGGTGTCTCTAGGGCTGTCACCCCGTTTTGGGTGACATGGCACCTGGCTCAGCATTCCCCCCTCACTGTCTCCAGCAACCCGGAGAGGCAGGCGGAGAAGGAGGCGATCCAGGGGCAGCGGGCGGTGCTGGAGCCGCTGCACGTGCTGGTGCTGACGGGGGTCCTGTCCCTGGTGGGCTCCCGCGTGGCCGCGCTGGTGGTGCTGGAATTCTCCCTGCGCGCCGTGTCCACCGTCCTGTCCCACGGCAAGGTGAGATGGGATGGGGGAAACTGAGGCACGGTGGGGAGGGAGCTGGGAAACTGTGGATCCCTGGTGGATTTGTTCAACCCCCATGGGAGATGGAAAGGCTGTGGTGTGGAGGGTCCACGTGTCACTTTGCACATGAACCCAGAGGGGCGAGAGGCCGATGGCCCCAGGCTGGGCCCAGCCCAGGGGGGGCACAGGAACAGGGCAGGGCCCGTCCCTGTGCTGGGCACGGCCGGGGCACCTCCAGCCCCGGGGGCACCGCTGGGACCCTCCGGACAAGGAGGACCCGGAGGGGCTGGAGCGTGTGCAGGGAAGGGAACGGAGCTGGGAAGGGGCTGGAGCAGCAGGAGCAGCTGAGGGAGCTGGGGGGGCTCAGCCTGGAGAAAAGGAGGCTCAGGGGGGACCTTCTGGCTCTGCAACTCCCTGACAGGAGGGGGGAGCTGGGGGGGGGGGCGGGCTCTGCTCCCAGGGAACAAGGGACAGGAGGAGAGGGAACAGCCTCCAGCTGTGCCAGGGGAGGTTTAGATTGGATATTGGGGAAAATTCCTTAATGGAAAGGGCACTCAGGCATTGGCACAGGCTGCCCAGGGCAGTGGTGGAGTCCCCATCCCTGGAAGTGTTCAGTAGGTGTGTGCATGTGGCACTTGGGGACATTTTTAGTGGTGGGTGTGACAGTGCTGGTGGGATGGTTGGACTCGATGGTCTTGGAGTCTTTCCCCACCTCCCGATTCCACGATCCCACGAACTCCTCGCGACTGACGGAGCCGTCCCCTCCCGCAGGGTGCCCACAGCAGCCAGCTCTACCTGCTGTGCCAGTACTCCCTGGGCTGCGGGGTGTCCTGCGGCCTCAGCTTCCTGCTGGAAGGGGCTCCCCACCGGAGCTGGAACCTGCTGCTGGCGGCGGGGCTGGCGGGGCTGCTGGCGCTGCAGTGCCGGCGCCTGGTGCGGCACGTGTGTGCCCTGTACGGGCTGCACAGCCGGGACCGCTACTGCGGGCTCTGCATCCTGCTGCTCTCCGACCGCCACCGCGTCCCCGCGCTGCTGCGCCGCGCCCTCGCCGTGGCCTTCGCCGTGGCCGACCTGGCGGCCGTGGAGCTCATCAACAGGGATTTCCTGTCCACGGCCGAGGCCGTGCGGTTCTGGACCCCGCTGACCATCTGCTACGCCCTGCTGGTGGTCTACATGCAGGGTGGGAGAGGGGCCGGGGGTGAACGGGGGTGTCAGAGGGTGGGGGGTCCTGGGAGTGGGGCAGTGGGGGGTGTTTTGGGGCTGTATGGGCCATCCTGGGATTGTATGGGGGGTATATGGGGCATCCCATGTATTGGGTTTAGGGTGAAGGGGGGTGTCAGAGAGTGGGGAATGCTGCATATGGGGTCTACCATATGCAGGATGGGGGTGTATGGGGCATCCCCCGGGGTTGTAGGGGGAATATATGGGGTATCCCAGAGGTGTATGGTGGATATATGAGGTTTCCCATGTATTGGGTTTGGGTGGGGGGGTTGGGGTGAAGGGGGGTGTCAGAGGATGGGGGATCCTGTGTATGGCGCAGTATATGGGGTATTTTGGGGGTGTATGGAACTGTATGGTGTGTCCCAGAGGTGTACAGTTGATATATGGGGCTTCCCATGTATTGGGTTTGGAGTGAAGGGGGAGTGTCACAGAATGGGGGATCCTGTGTATGGGGGGCATTTTGTGGGTGTATGGGGCTGTTTGGGTATTTTGGGGTCGTATCGGGGATATGTGGGGTATCCCATATATTGGGTTTGGGGTGAATGGAGGGTGTCAGAAAGTGGGGGATCCTGTATATGGGGCAGTATATGGGGTATTTTGGGGGTCTGCAGCACTGTATGGGGCATCCTGGGGGTGTAGGGGGTGGTATATGTGAAGCACCCCATATTCCCCCATGGAACGCCCCATGTCCCACTTGTGGGGCCAGGGAGGGCATGGTGTCCCCGTTGTGAGGTCAGGGAGGGCACAGTGTCCCCTTGGACGGGTCTGGGGAGGGCACAGTGTCCCCGTTGTGGGTCTGGGGAGGGCACAGTGTCCCCCCGTGTGTCTCCAGCGCCGTGTCCCCACAGAGGAGGCCCGGCAGAGCGCAGATGGGGGGCCGGTGTTCCAGACGGTCCTGGTGCGGATGGGCGGCCTCTTCATCCTCCTCCTCACCGTGGGCCGGTGGAGCGACATCCTGCACGTGCTGGTGTCGCTGCTGGGGGAGCTGTGGTGCCTGCTCCAGGCCGGGGTGCTGCTGCGGGCCTGCCGGGGGCAGGTGAGCCGGGGGCACCTCCCGGGGCCACCACAGCGGTGTGAGGGGCGGGCCCGGGGCCACGGGAGGGGCATTCCTGCTTCTCTTCTTCCTTCTCCATCAGGATTCCATCCCGCAGCCTCACTGGGAGAGACAGTTGGGATCTGGATCGGAGGAAACATCTGGATGAGCTGCGGGGTGTGACCAGACAGCAGAGACTCCGGGGTGGCTTTGCCTGGCACCCCCAGAATCCTCCCCGTGGGGACTAAGGAAAAAGGGCTTCCAGAAGGTGCCCGACCCCGTCCCATGGGATAGAGGAGGTCGGGGGGGAAGACTCATGTGGCCCCTGGTTTTTGGGGACCCCGTGAGGTTGCAGCACTGCTGGAGTTTGTTCCCTGGTCCCACTGGGATCGTGGGATGCTGATGGATGTCCCATCCTCACTGGCTGTGGGGCCACACTGTCACAGCGGAGGGGCTCCAGGGGGGCTCCAAATCTTGGAAAATAAAGTTTTTTCCAGCAAAATCCGTGGGCAGAGTGAGGTGGGGTCCTGTTGTGCCAGAGGGGGGCTCAGGGATGGGCACGGTGCAGCTTTTTGGAGGAGGTGGGTGGTGCAGTTCCTCCTGGAAAGGGAAACTGAGGCACAGAGTGGGGGGTCACCCTCTGACTGGGAGGTGCCCTCGTGTCTTAGCTTCCTCACCATGGATGTGCCATGCCAGGGGGCATGGGCTCTGGGAAGGTGGGGTGCAGTTTGAGGAGGGGAGTTCTGGCTGCCTGGGCATGAATCCCAAAGGATGGGGGGAGCAGAAGGGGGGGTGGGGGTGTTGGGAGCATCCTGGGGCTGGCTGGGGGCAAGGGGGCACCCTGGAGTGTATAGGGGTTTATGGGGCACCCTGGGGCTCTATGGGGGCACACTGGTGTCCCAGGGGTACAGAGAAGCAGTATGGGGCATTTTGGGGGTGTATGGAGTTGCATGGGGGCCACTGGGGGTGCCTGGGGATGTATAGGGATGTAGGGATTACCTTGGGGGTCTGTGGGGACACTGGGGGCACATGGGGCTGTATTGGGGCACACAGGCACCCCGGGGATGGGGGGTAATGGGGCACCCTGAGGGTGCCTGGGGCGATCAGGGGCAGTCCGTGGGACAAACTGGGGGGGTAGGTCATCCCAGAGCACAGAGGGGCACCCGAGGGGGCACGGGGCAGCGGGATGGCACCGTGGGGACATATGGGACACCCCTGGGTCCACGAGGCACCCTGAGGTCCCATGGAGCACTTTGGGGTGCGTGCAGCAGTCGGGGGTACGTGTGGCACCCTAAGGACCTGTGAGGCACCCCGGGGTGCACCGGGCACCCTAAGGACGTGTGCCTCCCCCGCCCGGGGCTGTGGGGCAGGCGGGGGGAGGAGGAAGGGAGGAGGAGGAGGAGGGAGGAAGGGGCGGTGATGCCGGGCGGCTCTGCCTCCCCGCTGCCCCCGCCGCGCCCGCGGAGCGCACGGAGGGACCCGCACCGGCTCCCCAGGTACGGGACAGGGACGGGGACAGGGCCGCCCCCTGAGGGGCTGCAGGGCCACCTCCGGGCAGGCGACACCCCCCTGGGCAGGGAACCTCCCCCCGCAAGGTACGACCTTCCCAGGTAGGGAACTGGGGCCACCCCCAGGTAGGGACCACTCCAGGTGCGGGATTGGGGACCCCCCAAAGAGAGGAGAGGGGGCACCCCAAATGGGACACGGGACCGCCAGGTGATGGGATAAGGACCACAGAGCCATCCTGGGATGGGACAAGTGGACCAAGACCCACCCCCAAGGAGGGGACTGGGGACGCTCCCAGGGAGGGGACGGGGGGGCTCCCTGGCAGGGGGTCACAGAGGGCCACCGCCCCATAGGGGACAGGGCACGCCCAGGTAGGGGAAGGGGGCTGTGGGGCTGCACGGCGGGAGACCGGGGATAAGTGAGGGGGACTGCAAGGCCACCCCCAGGTCAGGGACAAGGGGACAGTGGGACCACTGGACAGGGGAGACAAAGGGACCAAGCACTCTGTCCCCCCACCCCATCGCTTTTTCCTTGGGCATCCTCGCAGCACCCTCCCAGAGGTCCCTGGGACAGGAAACAGAGTTGGGGGACAGCTGTAAAGAGCTGTGCCCCATCCCAATTTGGGGGGCGTGAGGATGCTCCAAAAGTGGCCCCTCATCGATCCCACTTCAGTCCCCACCCCAGGAGATTTTGAGGAAGCCAGGGGAGCCTTTCCTAATGTGGCCTCAGCCACCCCAAACCAGGATGGAGCTACGTGGGGAGGGGTGGGAACCCCATAAAAAAGGAGGCAGGACCCCCATTACTGCACCCCTGGAGCCTCCACCAGCCCGATGGCCCCTGTCTGGGGGGACCCGGGGGGTGCCGCCGTGGGGCTGCCAGGATCCCGTCAGCCCCGGCACAAAGAGGAATGCGACGAGCACATGGTTCCCATTAACCCCGGAGAAATCTTTTTTTCTTTCTTTCTTTTTTGGTGTTGTTTTTTTTTTTTTTTTTAAGATTATTCTTTTTCCCCCCTAATTTTCCGCAGCTCGGCTGGGGAGGAGGAAAAGCGGCAGCTCTGGAGGGTGAGGATTTGGGCGAGGGCCGGCAGCGCCGGAGCCCGGCCGGGGTTTCGCCGGTGGGGAGGGAGGGGAGGAGAAAGAGAAGCGCTCGGGGTTCTTTTTCCTCTTTAATCCCTTCCCTGCTTGAGTCAGAGGCTGAAGTCACCGGCGGGAACATCCCGAAGCTGTTCCCCCACCTCGAGGGGAACTGGCTGCCCCCTGAGAGGATGTGCTGACCCTCATGAGCGGGATTCTGGGGGAGCGGAGCCGCATGAGAGCGGGCAACTCATCACACAGGTATTTATCAAGCTGCTGATTCACCTCAGGGGCAAATCCTGCTTCACCAATGCAGCACCCTGGCTAAAGCCTCGGGGTTCCCCCCCTTCCAAACCATTCCATTTGGGAAGGGGAAGCTTCGCCCCGGCTGTTTTTCCCATTGGGAAGTTGAAAAAACAGCCCTGTTCCTTCCTGAGCGGGGTTTATCGGGGTCGGGCGCATCCTGCTGGGGCTGTGCTCGGGGGCTGTGTCGGCGACAGGGATGTGGTCATTCATGGCACTGTGCCTCAGTTTCCCAAAAATAAAGGGGAAAAATTTTCTGGAAAAATAACGGGGTTCCACTGAGCTGGAAGTGATTAGTTGGGAATTAGGGATAAGGAGGGAGGGAACGGGGATGTAGAGACACTCCAAAAAAGGGGTTGCAAAGGCAAAGTCCTATGGCAACCCCATTTTTAAGAGGAAAGGTGGGGTTTTTCCTGCTGCCCACAGGGAGTGTAATCCCAGGTGGGAGCAATAAGAGGAAATAAAGGGGGTTAAAACACTTATAAAAGGGAGGGATTTGGCCACAGAGGCGTGAAAATGGGAGATTCCAGCTGCTGCTTCCCCAGGACCCTTTGCCCTGTGTCCTCCCAGGCACGAGACCTTTTACTGCCGTGACGTGGGACGGGGACGGTTGTTCCTTCTCCCTTTCCGGCAGGAGGGAGGCGGGTTGATGCCGAAGGGCAGCACGGCTGCAGGAGCTGCTGGTGCGCCTGGGAGCTTTATCTTATTTTCCCTAAAATCGACCCCAGGTCCAGCCTTTCCGCGGCTCCAAGGATGCTGCCAGGGAAGACAGAGAAGAGGATGGCTTCATCCATCTTCATCACTCTGGTACCACCACGGAGGGACGTGGCCACCAAGGAGAAAACCCACCAGGAGCCACAGCCAGAGTGCGCCGAGGTCCCCGGCACCAATCGCCCCCGGATCCCACCGTCACCCCCCACGCTGCTCAATGGAGGTGAGGGGTGTCCACGGGGGGCTGCGAGCGGTGCCGAGAGGATGATGATGGTGCTGAGGATGCTGTGGAGATGCTTTGCTAAAGGACACGCAGGCAGGAGGGGGTGGGGGGGGTTTTTTGGGAGTTATTCCCAAAATCCCTGCACCCATCCCGGGATGGATCCAGCTGGCAGGGAAGGGCTGTGTTTGCTCTCCATTGCCGGGCACTTATCGGTGCTGTTTGTCCCCTCCGCCCGGGATGGCGTTTGCTTTTGGGGCAGGTCAGCGAGCGCTGCTGCAAAGCTGTTGGGGCGCTACTGTGACAGGGCGTTACTGTGACAGGGCGTTACCGTGACAGGGCGTTCCCATGGTGGGACATTATCGCTCCCCTAAACCCCCCACATCTGTCTTTCGCTGCAGAAACCCACCCAACTGTGCCTGTGTCTTCATTCCCGCCGGTCCTCATCCTCTCTGAAGCCCCCCAGCCCTTGTCCGCGGAGTCGCTGTGTCCGGCACTGCAGCAACTGGACCTTGCGGCACCCGCCACCCTCCAGGTGAGGATAATGGGGTGCAGACCCCCCAGTGCCTCAGTTTCCCCACCTGCAGGAGCATAAATAATGTGGCTTCACCTTCCCCTGCTCTCCGGGCTCCTTCTGAATTAAAGCCACCCAAACTTTGCCAGGAGCAAGTGGACAAGCCGCAGCGGCAGGATGCGAACGGGTACCCAGAGCGGGACGGCTCCAGAGGTAAGGGGGACAAAGCCGTGCATGGGCTCATCCCAAGTTAGGGAGACTGAGTCAGGCAGCTCCGAACCCCTGTCCCTGCTTCCCACAGACATCTGTGCCTTCTGCCACAAAGCACTGGGGCCGCAGGAGCCGACGGTGGAGGCGATGCGGAAGCAGTACCACCCCGGCTGCTTCACCTGCCGCACGTGCCAGCGGCTCCTGGCCGGGCAGCGCTACTTCCAGAGGGATGGGCAGCCCATGTGTGACACCTGCTACCAGGTACCATCCTCTCTTGGGGACAGCCAGCACCCTCGGGGTGGGAGCTGGCATCTCACGCCGTGTGTTCCCTAAATCCCAGGCCACGCTGGAGAAATGTGCCAAGTGCCAGGGGCTGATCACAGAGCGCATCGTCCGTGCCCTGGGCAAGGGTTTCCACCCTGGCTGCTTCTCCTGCGCCGGCTGCGGCCGCGCCATCGGCGCCGAGAGCTTTGCCGTGGACGAGCAGGGCGACGTGTACTGTGTGCCCGACTTCTACAGGTTGGCAACGGGGGAGCGTCCCCCAGCTTGGGAGCTGGGATCTGGGAGCTGGGGTCTGGCTGTCCCTGTCACCCCACAGGGTTCACACCACTGCTGTTTGCCCCTGCCAGGAAATATGCTGCGGTTTGCAGTGCCTGCCAGCGCCCCATCGTCCCCTCTGAGGACAAGGACACCTACAAGATCGAGTGCCTGGGACGCAGCTTCCACGAGAGCTGCTACCGCTGCGAGGTACAGCCCTGGCGGGGCTGGGGGCCCCCAAAGCCGAGGGGGGGGCACTGAGCCTTGGCTGGCACAGGGTCCACAGCCCCCAGGGTTATTTGTTATCCCACAGTTTATCTTGTAAGCGATGGGGAGGGGGAAATAAATCAATCAATCAGGTGGTGGTGGTGATGATGTATCTGGAGGAGACCTTCGGCTTCGCAGGATTTTGATGTAGTTTGTGCTTTTTCCAAGCGCTGGTGGGTTTTGCAGGAAAACGGGATGTGATGCAACGTGAGGACCCCCTAAAACATGTTGTCCCTTTCCCCTCTCACCCCCAGAGCTGTGGGACGCCACTGTCCCCAGAGCTGACGGAGGACGGGTGCTACCCCCTGGACAGCCACCTCCTCTGCAAGTCCTGCCACGTCCGCTGGCGGAACGAGTCGTCCTGCTGAGACCCCGCGCCTCATCCATCTCTGTCTTCCAGTGCCAGCCACCAGAAAGGGGGTGTTTTGAGGGTGACCCTAGGTGTCTGCTGCACCTCAAAATTCCTGCAGAACTGGTGTTTTCATCTCCAAAATGTACCTGGGACCCCGACACCCAGGGCTGGCCAGGGGAGCAGCGTGGATGTGTCCCGACACAGCTCTGCGCTCACCATGAACATGAAATACCCTCACAGAGCAGCAATGGCAGAGCAGAAGTTTTATTCTTTATTTCTTTTTTAAAACTCCTTCTTCAAGGCCAGTTTGGTTTTCTTGGGTGTTTTTTCTTCCTTCTTGAGCTTCTTTGGGGTTTCACTGAAATATTTCTCTCTGTAGAGAGTGGGCACTGATTTAGTTACTCGCAGTTAAATAAAACCCCGAGTCTAAAAACTCTCATTCCTTTCATCCGCCCTGCATTCCAAACCTATCAAATCTGAGTTTAAAAATAAGGGAAAAAAGCCACTTTTTGGATTTTATAGGCGTGGCAAGTCAGGTCATTCAGGTCCATAACAGTTGATTTTGGGGTACGGCTATTTGGCAGATGCCACTGTCACCCGGGGGAGAGCCAAGGTTGTTTTTTGGGAGTGTATTTGGGATTTGGTGATTTCTTGGCATTGATAAAAGGGTTTTAGGTGGTGATTTGGGGTTTTTTTGCTGGCTGTCTGTCCTGGAGCCGGCAGAGGGCAGCTGGAGCGCAAATTCCTCCATCAGGCAGCAAAACTCCAGCTAAATGCATCCAACAGCCCCATTTCTGCACGTTTTTCGAGATAATACCACTCTGTCATCGGAAACTTTTTGATCTTCTCTTAGTCCAAGCCCCAAACCAGCAGAAATTAGACCATTTCTCTGCACATCCAACATCTGCACAACCGATGTTGCCGGTGCTTGGTGGTTTTGTTTGTGAGGGCGTTGCAAACCAGGCAGAGAAACATCTCAACTTTCTTTTTAACCGAAAGTGCTTAAAAAGCCACAAATAGAGAGCAGAAAATAGCAAAAGCATGGGAGATGATGTTTAATGCTTTCCTGATGGAAAGAGGGAGCTGTAAACAAAGAAAACCACCACCAGAGCAGCAGCTCTGGGCTCCTGGTAACCTCCGACATCTCTCTGGCGTGTGCTGTATTTATGAATGAAGGGGTTAATGATGGTTAATTAATCACATCAACAACTATTTCCTGACGACTCTTCCCAGTCTACAAAGCCGATTACTCAGCGTTCATTAACGAGCGTCTCCAGCCCATCAATCAGCTCGTAACTCGCTATAAACAAATTTATAAATAAGATGTTAAAGTTGCGGTTTGTCCTGGTCACGTAAGTTGGTGGCTTTGGTGGCTTTGGGTCTCGTTGGGCAGGAACCTCGTGTCCCATGCCAGGGAATTCCCGTGCTCAAAGTCAGCTCTCTCTCTTTCCAAAGTTTGTCATTCTGTGGAGAAAACCAGGCATCAAAATGATGCTAAAAAAAAGTAAAAAGATGTGGTGGTGGCCAAAGGGAGCAGGAAAGGGAAGACCCAGGAGTTGCTTGGTTTTGTGTAATAAGGGTATTTTTCCAAGCAAGGTTTTTGGGGAGGATGGAAGTGCTGACGCTGAGAGGTGTTTTGGATGTGTTATTCCAAGCTGTGCTATCCCTCCACAGAGGAATGGTTGGAAGGGGTTGGATATTTCCCCCACAAAGCAACCCAGGATGCACTGTTGGCAGTGGGACTGCGGTGAGTTTTGGCTGGAGGGAGGCAGGGAAATGCTTTTATTGACATGAAGCCTTGGAGAAGGTCCTGGAAAGCGAGGAGAAAGGAAAGGCACAACTGGAGAGTTTGGCAGTGCAACAAATGGATGCAGAAATGGTCAGATTTGGCATGTTTTTCCCAGAGCGGAGGATGACAAGGGGCAGGGGTGGATGGACACGGAGGTAAGAGGATAAAAGGCTGATTTAAGCCTTTTTCTTCCCAGATAAGAGGAGAAGTGTTACTAGCCGAGGCACAGGGAGCGTCACTATGGAAAGCACAACCTCATGTTTTCCCTCGGGAGGATCTCGAGGAATTTCAAGCTGCGTGCAGGAGAGAGATCCTGCAGGGGTGAGGCTGCGGGAGCTGGATCCCGTCCTGCTGCCAAGCAAACCCTCGCCGGCTGCGATGGCTCAGCCCACCCTTGAGCTGCTCACCCTGTCACGAGCACTCCTGCGAGTGCCCAGGTTTGCTGGCAAAAGTAAACTGAACACATCCCACGTGGAGCAATAGGATTTTGGGGGGTTGGGATTCCCCAAAACCTTGTGGAGCCCCCCAAGACCACCCAGATTTAAAAACCATTTGAGGTCTCTCATCCCAGTGGCAGTGGCCAAGGGCAGAGAGGATCCCACCCCTCTGAACGCCACTGGCTGGGCCCTGCCCTTCCCTCGGCTGCTGGAATAAGCCCGGCAGTCCTTGCAATCCCTCTTGGCAGGCTGAGGAGAGCGGGAAGGACCTGGCTGCCCTCCAAGGAGCAGCAAATGCAAATATTTCTTCACTCCAGGCTGGGTGCGGCTGCGGATAAAATTTCCTCAGGCTTTCCCAGCGAAGGTATCCGATATCCTACTCTGCTGCGAGGCCAAGTTGCTCCCGGGAATACAATGGTGCATCCCATAAGAAACCTCCAAAGATTATCCTTCTTGCAACTTGGACTTTTAAAAAGAGGTTTTAAATTAAATAAGGAGCTGCCAGGTATGGGTGTAGTGGTTTTAAATCAGTGGTTAAAGTGTGGCTTCGTAGCAAAAAAGACCTTTTTGCAGGTTTTGTTGGCAAATTGGAGATTTTTGGTGTGGCACGAGGAATGTGAGATGATAAAGGGAAAAGGCTGGAAAGTGCCTTTCCCCCCAGCATCCCCTTGGTCAGCTAGGAGAAATGGGAAAAGCAGAGGGAGGGATGAGCTGGAGAGGGAGGGATGAGCCATATTCCTTGTGTGCCTTTGCTATGCCATCATGACTTCCAGGGTGCTGGGAAGGAGCTGGAGCAGAGGGAAACACTGCAGGAAGGGAAACTGCAGCTGAAACAGTGCCCAGGGCTTTCCTGGCTGGAAAAGGCACTGGGAGCAGGGTTGGGTGCTGGTTTTCTCAAATAGGATGGAAAGAGCTACAGGAAAACAGGGTTTTTCCTTTGGATGTCCCAGGTTAATGGCAGCCACATCCCAGCTGGCTCGCTGCAGTAACATTCTTCCCCACAGAGTGTTCAGATCTATTTCCTGCACTTTCCTGTCACCAACACAACCTAAAACCCCAACATTTCTTAAATGAAAAGCAGTCTGATCCTGCTGGGTAAGAGAGACAAGGGAAAAACAGCAGAGATTATGTTGGGAGCAGCCAAGTCCTAGATTTCTCCGGCTTCATTTTGCAGCACAGGTGGGATATATATTAAAAAGAAGAAAAATGCAATATTCTAATATTCTCCTTCCCCCTCCCCATTTTCCTTGCAAAAGTGAACCACCCACTGATGTAGTTTTAAAGCACATCAGTTTTGATAACACAAGGGGAAAAGGATGCAGACTGATGCGCAGGCGCGTTACCAGGCTGCAAGCACTATTTATAAATAAGCAAGTGCTGCTTATTTATAAAAAAAACACCAAAAACAACAAACCAACAGATAAAAAGCCCAACCCACCCTATTTCTGAAAATAGACACACAGCACATGCCTGCAAATGGGGTTTTGTCATTTTGTATCCCAGATTTCCTTCATCCTATCGGCAATTTACAGCATCCCGCAGCCTTATTTCCTGAAAATTAACAATTTTCACCCAGATTTGGCTTTGAGCAGTTTAAGTTACATCTTTATTTTGCTGGACTGTCCAGTAGAGCCTGTGAGGTGTTTTATTAAAAATTCCAGATATTTCTCGCAGAGGTTATCCTGTTTGTCAAGGCGGCTTATTGACCTTGGGGAAAAAAAGGTAGAGGAGAAGGATGATAAGTACATAAATAATGGCAGCTTCAACCCCTGCAAAGGAGAAAAGCGGTGGAAAAGCAAAGAGTTAAGCATAAAATATATAATCAATATATCATATATAAATATATAATAATAATGTATCTCCTAATTCTCTGGGCAGCTAAACTTTCCCTTACAGCCCAGCCTGGGGAATATGCTTTAATCTCATTTATTGGATTCCTTCGTCCGAGGACGGATCTTGCTGAAGTGATCAGGCTCCTGATGGCGTATTAAGGGCGACACGTTTTGTGAAGAAAAAGAGAAATAAATGCTAAAAGGAGGTTTCTGGCTGACAAAAGGAAGCGGCGGCCGGGGCTGCCCCTCACGGCCGCCTCAGGCGCTGCCCCCCCCCGCCTCGCTTCACAAAATGGCCGCCCGGCGGGCCCTCGGTGTGAGGCGACAAAATGGCGGCGAGCGGGCAGCGAGGGGAAGGATGGGCGAGGGGCGGCTGCGGGGCCGGGGTGGCGGGCGTGGGCTGAGGCCGTGCCAGGAGTACGGCGGAGGGGCTCTGATCTTGCGCGAATTCCCTCCGGGCAGGCAGCGAAAGCGCTGCGGGTGAAACCTGACCTTCTTCTTTCCCCCCCTCCCTCCTCCCCTTTTCTCCTCGCCGCCTTTGTAAAAGGATGTGAAAATGCCCAGAAATGCGCGTTTTCACTCGTCCATGGCGGAGCCCTCCGTCTCCCCCTCACGCTTCAGCTCCCCCCTCCAGTTCCCCCCCCGCCTCAGGCGCCATCGCTGCTTCCCCCCCCCTCCCCGCCCGCTCTGGCGTTACCCCTAAAATATTGTATCTT